CGCAGCTGCAGGTGGCCGTCGGAGCCGAGCCGCACTGTGGGGACACGGGGCGGGAAGCGGGTCGGCCACAGGGCCTTTGCACGGCCGCCGCCGCCGCGTCTCTGCGGGGCTGGCTCCTCCTCCTCCCTCCCGCCCGCCTGCTGGACAGAGGATGTCCCTGCGGGTCACTCGCCTCCCCTCCGAGCACCTCGGCAGGGCTGAAGGGTCACATCCTGCCCTGGCACACAGTAGGTGCTTTGTAAACACGCGAGGGCGTCAGCGTGCATCTGACCGTTAGAGGGCTGAAGACCCAAGCCCCGCTCGGAGTCCTCCCCGGCAGGCCGGAACAGGCCCTGAAGGCCTACTAAGTGCGGGGCTGGGACACAGACGCTCGGTGCCTTTTCTGTCCGGCTCCCATTTCTTTTTTTTTAGACAGAGTCTCGCTCTGCTGCCCGGGCTAGAGTGAGTGCCGTGGCGTCAGCCTCGCTCACAGCAACCTCACACTCCTGGGCTCAAGCGATCCTCCCCGGGCGGCTGAGCCTTCCACTAAGCGACAATCCACGGTCGCACGAGATTGAAACGCTTATGTCCAGAGCAACACGTTTATAAGCCCAACGTATCTGCTTTTTTTTGGTGCCTCCTTACATTACTGCGATATCAGGGGACTGGGAGTGTGGACCTAACTGCTCAAGCAGGCCAACACTTCTGGAGAGCCAAGGCGCACGTGTCTGCCATTGCACTCCAGACGGCTCTGCAGCACACGCGACTTGACCCACACAGCCAGGGCGCTCGTTCACATGCCCTGATATTGCAACACACCCGAAAAAGAGAACAGACGATAGTTGGTGAGATTCTTGTTAGTCTGAGTTCCTGGGAATACGTGAAATAGTTTAGGCTATTGCAAATGCATTTTTCTAGCCTACCTTATTAAAAAACAAAAAAAAAAAAAAAAAAAAAAATAAAAACCAATAGCATTCATAGCCAGTGTGGGAGGCGTTAATCTGTTTCCATCCAAAGGTGCAGACCGATTCATAAGAATTGGGACCGCGATGGGTGATGGCAGGCGATTGCACACAGTGCGGGCACGGTCAGCCCTGCATGGTGGCAGCGCGGCTCGGGACGCTGTCAAATCCATAGCGTCAGCCTGGGAGAAGCATGGCGGCCGGCTCGGGACACACGACAGCTCGCCCAGGGGCTGGGCAGCATCGCGGGGGCGGGCCTTCACGGCACTCGGCGCATCTGTTTTATTGGCGTAGGGCATAGGCGGAGCCTGCGCGCCGCAGTGCCGCTGCGGTCGCGTCCCTCGGCACGGGCCAGAGGTCCAGGGTCCGGGTAAGCAGGACAGGGCGCGGCGTGAGGCGGGCCCCGGGGAGGGCCCCGTCGGCCAGGGCGGATGCCAACGCGGCGATGCGCAGACTGCAGGGTGGCCGTCGGAGCGAGCCGCACGTTGGGACCACTGGGGCCTCTGGGATATATTTTTGTCGTGTTCTTTGCACAGGGGCCTTTGCCACGGCCGCCGGGGCCGCGTCTCCGGCGGGGCTGCGCTCCTCCTCTCGCCTCCTGCCTTCCCGCCCTGCCCTGCCTGCCGCCAGAGGAGTGTCCCTGCGGGCTCACTCGCCTCCCCTCCGGAGCACCTCGGCAGGGCTGAAAGGGTCACATCCTGGACCCTGACACGACAGTAGGCTGCTTTGTAAGCCAACGCGAGGGCCAGTCAGCGCGCATCTGGACCGTTAGAGGGCTGACAACCCAAGGCCCGTGCCTCGGAAGTCCTCCCCGGCAGCCGGAATCGGGGCCCTAGACCTACTAAGTGCGGGGGCTGGGACACAGCGCTCGGCTGCCTTTTCTGTCCCTCTACCAGGCCTCCGCATTTCTTTTTTTTGGAGCCAGAGTCTCGCTCTGCCTGCCCCCGGCTAGAGTGATTGGCCATGGGGCGTCGCCTCAGCTCACAGCAGCCTCAGACTCCTGGGCTCAAGCGGACTCCTCACCTGGCCTCATTTTGCCTCCCGAGGTAGCCTGGGATACAGGGCATGGCGCCACCGATGGGCCCAGCTTAATTTTTCTGTATATATTAGCTGGGCCAATTATTTCTTTCGTATTTATTAGTTAGAGGACGGCGGTCGTCGCTCTTGCTCAGGCTGGGTTCTCAACTCCTCGACCTCGGAGCAATCCGGGCCACCTCGGGGGCCTCCCGGAGGAGCGTGATGGGATGACAGGAGTGAGCCACCGGGCCGGGGCCCACCCAGGCTCTCATTGTGATATCTGAGAAATGTAGGCATCCCGGCACCGGGCGCCGTCGGTCACGCCTGTGATCCTACCGTCTGTTCGCCTGGGGAAGGCCGAGGCGGGAGGATAGTTTGAAGCTCAGGAGTTCAAGACCAGCCTTAGCAGGAGCCGATACCCCGTCTGCTCCTATAAATAGGGGAGAATATTAAATTGGCCAGCTAATATATAAAGGATAAAAATTCTGAAGCCGGGCGTTGGCGGGGCACAAAAATGACCTGTACGAAGTCCAGTACCGGGGAGAGGCTGGAGGCAGGAGGCATTTGGCTTTGAGCCCAAGGAGTCTGAGGTTGCCTGTGAGCAGGCTGGGCGCCACGGCCCTCACTCTAGCCGGGAGCAACAGAGTGAGACTCTGTCTCAAAAAAAAAAAAGAAATAGAGCATCCGGGCCCACATTCAGACGATTGGCCTCGAGGCCCTATGAGGTCCCCCAGGCTGTGTGGGAAGAGCCCGGGACGCGGATGAGGCTGTGGTACCCGAAGGGTCACATCGGGTCAGGTCTCTATGCTCGAGAGGGTTGGCTGTCCGCCCCGCGCAGCAACAGCCATGCTACAGCGGGGTGGTTAGGATAAAGGCGCCTCCCCTCTGCCCTGGCCCCTCCTGGGCCTAGTGCTCTGGGGCCGCCCCCTCCATCACCACCCCCACTCCTTGGCGGGCCTCGGGCGGGGAGAACATCCTTCCGCCCCCACCCCCGG